CAGTTGGGCGCCCAGGTCGCTCTTGGGCCAGCCCGAGCGCCCTCGCGATGGGGCGTAGCAAGACTGAGGTCGCGGCCGAACTAACCTGCCAGCTGGCTGCGTTTAGAACACTTGGTACGTGGTCTCGCGCAACGCTGCAAAGCGTTTAACATCGGGCTCGGTTGAGCTAAGTGCATCACCAGTTATCACCAGGACCAAGCATTTGACAGCTGCAAGCGCAACGCTGCAAGCATCTGCACGCGCGCACCAGATCATAGTTAGGTCCAACATGAGGCATGTATCATTGTCATAACAACTCCTAAGACCCCCTGAAAGACACCTGGATAACTCCTGAATAACTCCTGAATAACTCATGAATAACTCCTGAATGCCTGAATAACTCCTGAATCATTCCGGAAAACCTGAATAACTCTTGCATAACTCCTGAATAACTCCTGCATATATCCTGAATAGCTCATGAATAGCTCCTGAATGCCTGAATAACTCCTGAATATCTCCTGAATAACTCCTGAATAACTCCTGAATCGCACCAGAATGCTTGGCATAATCCTGAATAACTCCTGAATAACTCCTGAATTCATCGTGGGTACGATGGGTCAGGCTTTGATTACAGAGAAGCAGCGTGCGCCAGGCTGCGCATGCGGGCATGACCGCGTGCGGCGGGCATGCGTATCGCGCGCGACAAACTGCGGCTGGCGCGACAGATACGTCGCAACGGGGAGCAGTTGGCTCGCGGTCGCATGATGCGCGGCGCATATCTGCGGCGAGCTTCATATCTCGACAGTGATCGCTGCGCGCTGGCGCACATGCATGGTTTAAGATATTCTTGAAGCAGTGTGACGACATCATTATCTGCAGCGGTTTAGAATATGCCTGCGACGTTGTTGTAATATGCATAAAACAGTATTGAGGCATTGTTGAGACAATATCGATACATTAGTAAGCCATTGTCAAGACCTTAGAATTTTACTATTGGGGCAGTATTGAGACAGTAGTAAGACAAGCTCTTCGACATAGAAAGTACGCGCGGCATTGTCCAGGGCAGTATGAGGGTATTACTAGAGCACCCTTGAACATACCACGACAATATTAAGTCAGTATCATGACATACATATGATAATGCCGGGGCATGGCAAACACATCGTTCAGACATTGTGAAGACATCACCAAGGCATCCGCAAGACATTACTACGGCGTTACTCGCACATTATCAAGAGCATCAAGCAAACATACACACATGCTAAAACCAGAGCGGGCAATCATCCAGCACATGCGCGCTGCATCGTGCGCGCGCGCGCGATGCAGCTTGGGCGCGTTTTCATTTACTCGGCATTCCTATTGCCATCTCTTGGGGCGAGGAAGCCAAATTTCACCATTGGTTTTCCCCATTGGGTTTTTGATTTAGCATCACCCCATGTTGCATAAAAGCGCATGCGAGCTGCATTGGCGCGAGCGCGCGCGATGCAGCTTGGCTGCGTTTTCGTCTATTCGGCACTTATATGGCCACCTCTTGGGGTCAGAAAACCAATACTTACATTGGGTTTTCCCCATTGGGTTTTCGATTTAACATCGTACATTTTGCATGAGAGCGCATGCAACCTGCATCGTGCGCCTCGCGCGCGCCGCGCGATGCAGTTCGGATGCGTGTTCATGTATTCGGCTCTTATACGGACATCTCTTGGGGTCAGAAATCAATTGTTTACATTGGGTTTTCCCCATTGGGTTTTCGATTTAACATCGTCCACTTTGTATAAACCACATGCAAGCTGCATCGCGCGCGCGCGCCGCGGCGCGAGCGTACGCGCGCGCACGGTGCAGTTCGGCTTCGTGTCCATGCATTCGCCTCTTATATGGCCATCCCTTGGGATCAGAAAGCCAATGTTTACATTGAGTTCTCCCCGTTTGGTTTTCGATTTCGCACCGTACATGTTATGTCAAACGCATACAAGTTGCATCGCGTGCGCGCGTGCATGATTTGAAACATGATCTAAACATTAGTAGAGCGTGAGAAAGGCATGGTTCAAACAAGATAAAGACATTTTTGAATACTTCAGCAAACTATTATTGGAGCACTGTCAAGACTTTATGTATACTTCACCCATTGAACTGCTATGGCTTCATTACGACATCAGTAATACAATATGATGACGTTGATACAGCTTTATGAACCATTTCCGTGCTTATCTTTTAATAACGAAAGCATCATCAATATTTGCGCACATGCCGTAAATACATACTTCAATAGCGGTCACGCTTCATTAAACATAGCGGACTTACTACATACGTAACACATGTTTTGAAATTCCTCTCACACACACATTAATAGAACATTGGTTCCGCTTTGAAGTAACTCCTAGCAGCAAAACCAGAATCCGTTGTTCTGGAGCAAGTGGTGGCACTACTGGCTTCGTACTTCACCGCCACCGTCACCGCCGCCGCCCTCCGACCGCAACCTATGGCGCAACCTGTGGCGCAACCGTCGCTGTTGCCATCGCCGTCTTTCAGGCGCCGCAACCTATGCCGCAACCAATGGGGCAACTTGTGGTTTATGGCGCAAGCGCAATCTATATCGCAATCTATGAGACGGGTCGGGCGACGTTTCGTCGCGTCCGTCACCGTCGCCAGCCTTTGGGCGCCGCTGGAGGCGCCGCGGAATTGGGGCTCAGTCTTTGTTTGAGAAGCGTTTCGCATGACAAGTAGTTGAAGCATGTGGGCCTAGGACTAATTACATAACAAAACGCAGACAAGTGGTTGACAAACGTGTCTGAGAACTGTGGCCAGGAGGGCGGTGCCCATGATAATCACTTTCCCAAAACAGTGCAATCACTTTCCCCAGACAGTGCTTGCACTTGGGGCTTACTACTTGCGCCTCGAAATAATGTGGCACTTTCCTCCCGTCGGCTTCGAGACAGCTTGTAGGGCTGGGCGACCGCTTAGGTTCACCGGGCGCGGTCTTCAACGTGGTCTTACCATATCGCATCATGGTCAGGTCATCACCATTCACACCATGGTCATGACAACGACACTCCGCACTATGCTCATCACCATGTTTTAAAACCATCGTCACCATCATGCTGATGACCAGTATCGACATCATCGATATCACTTTCATTATCAACGTCATCATCATGAAGGTCATCATTACAGCATGCGTTTCTCATCGATGCCCCTGATGGCCGTTTCTGCTTCGAGATTACTGTCTCAAGTAATCGGCTGACATTCTTCCACATTTCAGGGGTGCCCCCCGCGCCACTTCCGAAGCTTCCCAATCCTAAGTTCCTTTCCAAGGTGAGGCCCATCACGAGAAAGCGCTTCAAGGCCCTGTTCAAGGAAATCCTCGTTTGGAAGTTTCGCGCAAAGTTCTATAAGCACAGGGTGTTCTTACTTCGGAACAAGCTCGTGGATGTCCAGAGCACTGCCAGCTCCACTATCACCCAGGACGACGCTCTGGCCGCCTCTAACATCAACTGGCCCCGAGCCAGGGTTCTGAGTCTGAGCACGGTGGACTAGTGAGAGTGCTGCGTGGCAGGGCACGCCGTGGCCCTCCCCTTCTCAAACTCCTCTCCTGCTCCAGCCCTCTCCCCAATCCCATCCACCCCCCTCCCCTTCCCTTCCTTCTCCCTCTCCTGCTTCTCCACCCTCCTTTTCCAAGATAAGTCATTTTGGAATGCGCTAGGCTCATTATAACATTGCTGCATCGTGGCGCCAGCCGCCAACCGCAGCCAGCAGACAGCCCCAGCAGGGATTCGCTCGCTCGCAGGGCCCATGATAAATCCGTTCCCCCAATCTCTCCACGCCATCCCCTCGCATACCTTGATGCCTGACGGCCATCACTCCGCATCCATCTCTCTATATTCGTTCCGGAGGAGCGACCCGAACCCAAGCCCACGACAACCCAGGGCGACTCGAGCCCAAGTCCGCAACAGTCCAGGACGACCCGAGAAGTAGCCCACATCAGTTCGGGACGACTCGAACCCGAGCCCACGCCAGTCCACGACGATGCGAGCCCATGGGCTCGCGTCGTCAAGGCGTGCTGTGTACTTCCTTAAGTTCCCTCACTTACGCACTCACCCGTTTACTTACTTACTTACTAGCTCACTTATTTATTTGCTTACTTACGTAATTACATAATTGTTTACTCACTTACTTACTTCATTTACTTACTCGTTTACTTACTTACTCTACTTACTTACTCATTTACTTACGCACATGCTCTAATGCGTGCCGTACTTCACTTACTTACTCATTGACTTACGTACATCCAAGACGTTACTTGACTTACTTGTTACCGTATCACTTTACGTGCTTACTTTATTCAATTACGTAATGTATGCACTTACTTAATTTACTTACGTCATTACCTGCTACTGTTTGCTTAATTACTCCACTTACTTACTTGCCTGAAATGTTTCTAAAGCTTTATGCCGCTGCATTAGCATTGCATTCGCATCCTGTTCGCCTACGGCGTAGTAGTATTACACTCCCCGATGCGGTGCATTGGCTTGCATTGCTTGTAGTATTGCATCGCAGCATTGCATTTGCATTGCATTAGTATAGAACTCCTCGATGCATTGCATTGGCTGCCCATTACCGTACCTCATTCGTGAGGTCATTCAGCCGTAGCCGTGTTGGTCCAACTTTGGGTTCCAGGGGTAAGGCGAACCCCAGTTGTTTCTTTATTTCTGACTGCATCTTCTCCTTCAGACCAGCAGGAGTGCAGAGCTCGCGGAGGGATGCCTGCCAGCGACGCGGCAGGGTCGGGAGTGGCAAGGAAGAGGGCATCCAGCGAGCCCCCCAAGGCTTCCAGGGCCGCCAGCAAGAAGTCAAAGCAGCAGGAGGAGGCAGATGATGGTATCCCGTATCTCGACGTCAGAATGGCCACCTGCAGCACCTGCCACCAGAACATTCACGGTTGGGAGAAGGACGCCAACTATGGCAAGAAAGAGCCGTAGTGGGGGACGAAAGGCGAGAAGAGCAACAAGACGGGCCTCTGGGTACCGATGGGCGCTGAATGCGGTGGATGCGGGTACGTGCGCAACCGCTACTACGAGAAAGGCACGAGCCAACAAGAGGTCAACATAACAATCGCAGAGGAGGAGGGCGAGGCTGAGCGCCACCAGAGGCTCCGCGCAGATAAGGTCACAGGAGAGTGCAAGTTCGTCCACACTGAGGCAGTCAATACAAAGTCCAAGACCAGCGTTGAGAAGCAATCGTTTAGAGAGGCGGCCGAGGAGGGTACCTGCAATCCGTTGAAGGAGTTCGCGAGGATCAAGGGGCTCAGTTTCCCGGCCGAGAACCAACTGGAGGAGTACATCACCAAGACCATGGGTTTCGAGATCGAGGATGCCGACGGCGGGCGGGTCGTCGTCCAACCAGATTTGCCAGCAGGGTCGCACAGGTACAGGCACGGCAAGAGAGACGTCGCAAAACAGATGGTCGTGGAGGGGCACGTTGACCAGGCAGCGGCTGAACGGCGCCACGCAGAGAATATGCAAGAGGGTGCCCTTGGCAAGCCTGAGCGCCGCGTCTTGAGCAAGACGTCCTCCCCGCCAGTTGCGACCCACCGCCCGATTCCGAGGAGCCAGCAACCCCTGTCGGGCTCCTGGTCCTGGTCCTTGCCCAATGAAGCCTTCGACGAGGATCCTGATCATGACCATGACATTGCTAGACTGAGCGACGTGGACTCCAGTATCGCAAGCTCGACGATCCGCACGCCCGCGCCCAAGGCCCCTCAAAGGGTGGAGCGCTGCCTCCTGTCGGCGGGAGGGGGGCGCAAGAGGAAGCGCATTTCTGAAGGTGACCTGTCCGCCGCCGAGGCAGCAGAAGCAGCGCTGAACGATGCGGATGAGTACTTCTCGGCTGACATCCTGTGGAGCGGGAAGTACAAGAAGAGGGGCTTCGAGAACCAGCGCACGAAGCTGGCTGCCAAAGCAGCCAAAGCAGCAGCCTCCGTCGGGGTGGCCGACTCGGCGGAGGTGTCAGAGAAGCTCTTCAAGAAAAGCGTAGACATTTACACGACGAAGGAGACCCTGGATCTGTTCAAGGATCGGTCGCAGGATTTCGTGGAGAAGCTGGACGACTTGCCAGGCAAGTTCAACGACATCTTCAAGTCCTGCTCCCAAGGGACCCAAGCCAACATGCTGTCGAGCACCGTGTTCACCTTGCTGTCGACGGGTGACATTGCCAACGAGGTCATGGCCCTGAAGGTGGCGAAGTACGACGACTGCTGCGACCACTTCTCGGTGGCGACCCTGGCGAGGTCTGGGTGCTCGGAGGCTTTTGTGTCGAGTTGCCAGGTGAACCTCGTGGTGGGCTTCATCGACAAGATGATCAAGAAGCCCAATCGCGACGACTTCGTCAAGCTGATGAAGTCTTGCGAGTGCACGGTTGGGAAGGTGGGTTACGGGGGGCGTCCAATTGGCGTCCCCATCCCATCCTGGCCTCCCCCTCCTGCGCCCTTCATTTCGAGGGCGAGGGCGGGGGAGGGTGAGGTGGGAAGGGTTAGTTCATTGGGCCCCTGCCCCCAAAAGGTCAACATCGCAGATTTGGACACGGGCAACAGCATGATCGACGTTGCCATGGGCTGGACCCCATCAGTGCGCTGCCGACTTGTACTCGATGGGGTTCTTCGGGAGGGTCTTGGGGACAAGTGCAGGGGACAAGCTACCCAGGGGCCTTCGCCTCGAAGGGATTCATCTCGCCTCTCACAAGGGCAAGATCAGCAACCGCCTTCAGTGCTACATGAAGGTGTCGGGCGGTAACGTCAGCCATGCCAAGGTCGCCTGGGAGCGCATCCCGATTCCAGGGCGCGGTGAGGGAAACGGCGCATCCCTGGCGGACAACGTCGTCAACGATGTGGTGAAGTGCGTGCACGAGCTGGAGAAGTACGTCAACGTCGAGGCATCGGGGCCCGTGCGGCTCCTACACTCCATTTGTGTTGTGTCCCCGTCCCCGAAGAAATCTCCTGGGCGCACTCGGCTTGGAGGTCACCGTTTCGGGGGCGGGGGCTGTTGCATGAGTGTGGGTATCCTGGGTCCCTGGGCCACGCGCAGGAGCAAGACAGCGCCAGCGCAGTGGAACGTACTTTCTCGGCGCTCCAAGACGTCATCATGTCCAACTCCGCGGCAACGTTCAGCAAGTACATGGACACCGTCGACGACGAGGGCGACCACGAGGGCCAGCAGCTCTACAAGCTCAAGGACGACTTGGTGTCGAACATCTTCCGCGCGCAGCAGGTCGTCGTCGATTTCTCGGGCGGGCTCGCTGGTTTCGTGGGCTCCATCTTCAGCGATGACTTCTCGAGCTATGTGGACGTGGCCTCCGACTTGCATTCCGATGCAAATATCTTCATCATCGCCATTGGCGCCGCGAACACCTTGCTGCAGTTCGACATCCCTGCGGCGGAGAGGGCCGTCCTCAAGGAGGCCTCGCAGCGCTGCGAGGTCGCAGTGAAAGTCTGCGAAGCGAATGCCCACACCGCGAAGAGGTGCGACGAGTCCAGGCTTGCTTCGTGGTCGGAGATTTGGGAGTTAGAATCGAAAGTGCAGGTCGCGCCAAAGGCGAATTCTGAGAGCAGGGCACATCCATTTCAAGAGATCGTCGATTGTATTTCGAAGATGTCGTCGAAGGGCGTGATCCTCTCCGTGGTCAGGTCAATCGTGGGATCACCGAAATGCGAGCTCGCAGCTCAGAACTTCTTCTTCGTCATTGCCGAGCTCATCGGGGCCTTGCCTCCAGAGGTTAGCGCGCTCGCCGAGTCGGCGAAGGCGTGCAGGTCCATCAAGGTCACTGCGGAACAGGTGCTCGCAGGCAAGGCCGTCGGGTGCATGCAAAGTACCAGTGCCCTGCGTCTCGTCGAGTCGCTGATCGAGCCAGTGTCCACCAAGACCGAGGTGCAGGAGTGGAGAGTGGCGCTCCTGGAGCAGTGGGGCACCTCGTTCCAAGAGCTAGTGGAGAAGCTCGGCCCGATGTGCATGACAGCCTTCATCAGGAAGTACAGGGATCAGGAGAACATTATCGGTCTCGTCCAGGCCTGGACGTTCGACCAGAACATGTGGCTGGCGTCGAGTGAAAAAGACCCGAAACGCAATGCAGAATTCCAGCAGGTCGAGGCGTTCATGTCAGCTCTTCCCTCCGCTGCTCGCATCATTGACGAGCTTGCGAAGGTTTCCTTGCAGTGGATTTCGGAGTCCCAGTCACGTAGGCTCAAGAGTCTCATCGAAGATCTGCCGGCCATCATTTCTACCTTTAAAAAAGGAGCCACGCTTATGTCTACAGTGATTCTCACGAACGCCGTACTTGTAGGTAAGTCTGTTTGGACATCTAAAAGATACATATCTGAGCGGCTTGGTGTCACCGTCGAGGAGCTGCCTCCGACTTTGCAGGCTAAGCTGAGCGAGCGCGAGGCTGCCGCCGCGGATGGCGCCTCCACGAGCGCCGCTGCGCAGCCAGCAGCATCGCACAGTGCGAGCGCTGCGGGTGCGAGCGCGCCACCAGCGGCAGAGACCGCTGCGAGCGCGAAGCCTAAGCTGCAGTTGAAGCTGAAAAAGTAGACGGGTGCGGCGTGGCATCAGCATGCCACATGCCAGCGGCCGTTGAGGTTTATCAAGAGAGGGCTGCAATGCAGCCGCGAGCCCAACTTTACGCACTGCATGCTATTTAGGGGCGCCATCGGCCGATTGTTTCATGCGGCGGCGCGCGTTGCCCAGGAGAGTCTCTCAGCTTGCGTAGCCCAGGGGTCTGGTGTTCAAGCCTGGTGCCGTCCATTCAGCAGGAATGGATGCCTATCTCATACATGGGTTGCGTTGGCGCGCTATCGAAGCGCCTGCTAGATTCGACGGGGGGGCAGCTTAGGACACAATGGGCGGAATGCCACCTAACAGTAGACACAGACGCCACAAATAAACGCCCACACCCACAACACACGCCCCACCGTCGCGTCTCAACGAAGCTGGTCTGATCAGAGTTTGGGGGGTTCCCTCGCTGAGAACAAAAGCATCATCATGTGGAAAAGAGTCCGATTGCCTGACCTCCTCTCTCTCTCCCGTCTTCCTTCCACGTCGCCCCCTCTTGAATGTGGGCGGCGGTTTTTCGGCGAGCTGCCAATATAGATGGGGGGGCCAGCAAATCCCGAACCAATCGTCCTAAGAGAGGGGTCGCAGCGCAGAGGAGGCGCGGGCGAGGAGGAGAGGCCACGGGGGTAATAGTTATGTGCCTCCTCTCGCGCGAGCGTTTGCTATCCCCTGTGAGCTTCGCTCATTCCGCAACGCGTTGGATTCCAAGGGCTTTGCAGCATAATTTTAGGTAACCCATTATATGTGCGATATTTGCAAAAGCTACGTTTGGGGCAAGCCCGTTTGCTATTTAATTGAATTCAACAAATGAACCTTTCAAGCCCGAATCAAGAGTCTTCCACGGCGTCCGCCATGACGGAGTCAACCACCACGTCGTGGTCAATCAGTACGGAATTGAGCGCTACCATTGACCTCTATGACACACTCGGGCACCACGCCAGCACCTAGCACTATGGACTCTAGTATCTGGGCTGGCCGCCCCAGGAATCCCATCACCTTGACATTCAGCAACAAGACGGGCTCCAGCATTACGACGTTGAGCAGCTTGATGGGCAACAGCAGCCCGTTCCAGGTGGATAACGGCGCTCACCACGAAGGGGTCCACCACGGCGGAGTCGCGCCGCCACCTCAAACTTCGGCGAGTGGTTCCAGCACCAACGACAGGTCGACACTGGGCGCCGCCGAGTGGTCCCTCCAGGCAGACTCCTATGTGATTATGTGAGGCCGCCGGGGCTTTTTGCGTCGGGCCGCGCTGCGGTTCCTTCGCGTGTCCTCGCCTCCTCTTTTTGTTCTTTCTTTCTTTCTCTCTCTCTCTCTCTCTCTGTGTTTTCGTGTTGTTTTCGCGTGCCAGCCCGCACGTGCTAGGCTCCGCTCCGGGCGTGCATGTCTGCGGGGCGCCGGGGCTCCGCCTTTACAGCCTTCTTATTGACTCTAGTGTTTTCGGCGGCTGCGGTTCTCTGCTCCTGGCGGTACCTCGCCTGTTACTGTAGTTGGTTTGCCGACTTGCGGAGCCTTCGGCTGTGAACAGGTCGCGGCCAGTATTTTAGTCTGGCTTCTCTCTTCCTTCTCTCTCTCTCTCTCTCCTCCTCTTTTCCTCCTCCTTGTCCCCTCCATTCTGGCCTCCTGTTGTGCTGGATTTATTAGCTTGGCCTTTTGGGCCACCTAGTAGGGGTTGTAACCCAATTTCCGTGCCGCCGCCCGGCCGATACGTTTTAAAGGGGTTTCGTATTTGCGGAGTGTCTCTTCATAGTATCCTCGTAAGATCGTTACACTTTCTAGTTGAGCGTTCCAGCGGCCCCCGATTTGGAGGCTGCCGCCCGCCATATTCGGCGCGAGCATGCGCAGGTTGTCGGACACGCGGCGGGGACAGATACTGTTTCTTTTGGGCCGAGCTTCGTGACACAAATTTGGTTGGCTCTGCAGCCGAGGGCGGATGCATAGCAGGTTATGCTTGGTGGAGTCCTCTTCCCATCAGTTGGGAAGCCGGCAGTTGCACCCGCTGCAGCAGAGCGGGGGGCCGGCCCCAGGCAGTCTCCAGGGCCGCGAACACGCGGTCAAGGTGGCCGCTTCCATATTTTTCTCAGGGGCCCGCTCAGGTTTCTGTCAGCTTGACGCAGCAAGACCCCCCAACGGCCTTTACCTCCTCCTCCTCCTCCTCCTCCTCCGCCTCCGCCCCCCCCCCCTGTGGCGGGGCCGCCCGGAGGAGCGGCGCAGGCAGCTCGCCAGGCGCCCGCCTCCGGATCCCGAGGAGGAGGAGGAGGAGGACCCCACGCTTCGTCCGTCCGTCGTCGTCTGTCGCCGTCGTCTGTCGTCGTCGTCGTCGTCGTCCTCCGTCGTCATCCTCGTCCGTCGTCGTCGTCCGTCGTCGTCGTCCGTCGTCGTCGTCGTCGTCGTCCTCGTCCTCGTCGTCGTCCTCGTCGTTGTCCTTGTCCTCGTCCTCGTCCGTCGTCGGCCGTCGTCGTCCTTCGTCGTCCGTCGTCGTTCGTCGTCGCCCGTCCGTCGTCAATTGTCGTACGTCGTCGTCGTCGTCCGTCGTCATACGTCGCCGCCGCCGATCGGACCTTGATCCATGATCTTCTTCCTCGGCGGCGACTAACCTCGAGCCTCGACGACGGCGGCGAGAGAGCACTTCGGAGCCGCCGCCGCCGCGAAGGGCCTTCGTCGGCCTCTGGGGGGCCTTCGAAGGACTTCGGAGGTCCCCTCAGAGGTCGTCGCCGTCGTCCGTCCGTCGTCTGTCGTCGTCGTCGTCGTCGTCGTCGTCGACGTCGACGTCGACGTCGACGTCGACGTCGCCGTCGCTGCCGTAGAGTCTCGCCAGACAGCTGCCCCCCCCCCGCAGCCGCTGCCAGTGCCCGCACCGCCGTCCACGGCCGGGGCCGTCGGCCCCGGTGGGCCTGCGGCCTGAGGAGCTGCTGACTGCCCTCAGTAGCGACATTTACAAGTAGCCCGGCGAGAAGCCCAACCGTCTGCAGCTGTGGGCACCGTCGTTGTATGCCCCGCATTCTGTGGGGCTCCCTATACCAAACGTGTGTAGGGGTGTGCCAGAATGGGTGCGGTGGGCGCATGCGAACGCTGGGATTTGGGCCTTCTGTGGGGCTCCCTATGGGGCCACGAAGCGTGTGAAGGGCGGGGCGTGCCAAAATGGGTGGGGTAGGCGCATGCGAAGCTGGCATTTGGGCCTTTGGTGAGGCTCCCGCTGGGGCGACAGATCGTGTGAGGGGCGTGCCAAAAAGGGGGCGGTGGGCGCATGCGAACGCTGGCATTTGGACCTTCGGTAGTGCTGCTTGTGGGGCCACGCAGCGTGTGAAGGGTGTGTCAACATGATTGCGCTGGGCGCATGCGACCGCTTGCCAAAATGGGTGCGATGGGCGCAGGCGAACGCTGGCATTTGGGCCTGCGGTGGGGCTCCCTGTGGGGCCCCGAAACGTGTGAAGGGTGTGCCACAATTATGCGAACGCTGGCATTTGGGCTTTGGGTGGGGCTCCCTGTGGGGCCACGAAACGTGTGAGGTGTGTGTGCCAAATTTGTGCGGTGGGCGCGTGAGAACGCAGCCACTTGGGCCTTCGGCGGGGCTCCTTGTGGGGCCACGAAACGTGTGAGGGGTGTGCCGAACTGGGCGCGGTGGGCGCATGCGAACGCTGACACTGGGGCCTCCTGTGGGGCTCCCTATGGGGCCACGAAACGTGTGACTGGGTGTGCCAAAATGGCCGATTGGTTTGGAGGGCAGGGGCAGGGATCGGAGCAGGTAGGGGGGGGAGAAGGGGGAGGAGGAAGGAAGGAAGGAAGGAGAACGCGGGGCACTGTCTTTTCAAAACGAGGACCCAACACCACAGGATGGTGGGGAACAACAGGAAAACGATGTCAAACATGTACGGTAGTGACGCCCTTCAGGACATTGACGGGGAGCTGATCACGAGACAGCGCGATTCCTGGGCCACGAAGCGTGTGAGGGGTGGGCCGAAAAAATGTGGTGCCATGCGAACGCAGCCACTTTGGCCTTCGGTGGGGCTCCCTCTGGGGCCACGAAGCGTGTGAGGGGCGTGCCGCAATGGGTGCAGTGGTGCCATGCGAACGCAGCCACTTGGGCCTTCGATTGGGTTCCCTATGAGGCCACCAAGCGTGTGAGGGTTGTGCCGAAAAGGGCGCGGTGGTGCCATGCGAACGCAGCCATTGGGGCCTTCGGTGGGGCTCCCCATGGGGCCACGAAGCGTGTGTGCCGAGATGGGTGCGCTGGTGCCATGCGAACGCAGCCACTTTGGCCTTCGGTGGGGCTCCCTCTGGGGCCACGAAGCGTGTGAGGGGCGTGCCGCAATGGGTGCAGTGGTGCCATGCGAACGCAGCCACTTGGGCCCTCGGTGGGGCTCCCTATGGGGCCACGAAGCGTGTGAGGGGCGAGCCGGTGCGGTGGTGCCATGCGAACGCAGCCATTGGGGCCTTCGGTGGGGCTCCCCATGGGGCCACGAAGCGTGTGTGCCGAGATGGGTGCGCTGGTGCCATGCGAACGCAGCCACTTTGGCCTTCGGTGGGGCTCCCTCTGGGGCCACGAAGCGTGTGAGGGGCGTGCCGCAATGGGTGCAGTGGTGCCATGCGAACGCAGCCACTTGGGCCCTCGGTGGGGCTCCCTATGGGGCCACGAAGCGTGTGAGGGGCGAGCCGGTGCGGTGGTGCCATGCGAACGCAGCCATTGGGGCCTTCGGTGGGGCTCCCCATGGGGCCACGAAGCGTGTGTGCCGAGATGGGTGCGCTGGTGCCATGCGAACGCAGCCACTTTGGCCTTCGGTGGGGCTCCCTCTGGGGCCACGAAGCGTGTGAGGGGCGTGCCGCAATGGGTGCAGTGGTGCCATGCGAACGCAGCCACGCCAACGACACGATCCTCGGAGCCCATCTAATCGGATCCCAATAGGGAGGCGTCCATAAAGTCCAACTTTGGCAGAATCTGGTTTAGTGGCCCCTCAATCGGGCTGAACAGTCTTCAAGCGTTCCAGTGAAGACCTCCGAGGAGTTGCCTCCTAGGGTCTCGTTCCTCCTGCGGAGGAGGGAGGAGCTGCGAGAGACGACTCGAAAACTCCCCGACCCCATCTGCTCCGTCACCATTTGGGGGGGCCTCCAGAGGAGGACTGGGGGTGGAAGGGGAGGATCCGGAGTTGGATTCGACCCGGCTAAGGAGCGCGACGTTACGTTATCGGCGAACTGACCCCGAGCAGAGGGCAGATAGCAGAGAGAGTGGGGAGGGAGGCGCCGCGACGACCTCCTGGGATCTCTAGATCTCCGACGACGAGTTTTGCAGATTTGTTTGGTGTCAATTTGGATACAGTCAAGACGCTAAGGAACAGTTTGGGTTCGGAAGGGGCTCGATGCCCCTCAGGTTCCTCCAGTGTTGTTCCTTTTGCCCTCCTGGGGCACGGAGGCGCTTACAGGGCCAAAAAGGGGCTTCGCTCCTTATTGAACGTCCCTTCTTTCAGCGACCCGACTATACGCAGAAAATCCTTTCCCGGGACTGGCCTTACGTCCCGAATCGTCTTTTCACGGTCCCCAGGGCTCGGTGAGGACCCCCTTCGTCTGGCTTGATCCAGCCTGATCCGGCTGAGTGCTTGGCTCAAGCCTGGGCGCAATCTAGCCTAATCCAGCGTAGTGGCCCCTCAATTGGGTCTGATCGCCCTCGATTGGAATTGTGATGACCTCTCAGGAGTTATGCCTGAATGCTACGGTGGGGTCCCTCATCGAGGGATATGCTCATGAGACTTCAGACCTTGGAGGGTTTCTTGTCTGATGAGGGCGGCGGTGATTTCCATGGCCAAGCCTCAGTTGGTGTCCCACCGGCCTCCAGACCCTGGATTCCTTATCCAATAGTTTCTTATAGCATGCCCTCACAGTAACTTAGGGCTCAACCTGGCATGATCTCGTTAATGGCCCCTTAATATGATTGAATCGCCTTTGTCGATCTTTGAGAGCCCTCCCAGGAGTCGAGTGGGCGGACGACTTCATAATCGATTCACTCAATTTCTCCGTTGAGATTGCAAAAGATGCGCAGAATGCGCCGCATGACCATTGAGCATTCTACGCGGTTTCGCA